GGGGGGGGGGGGGGAGGGGGCTAGTAGAAGAGTCTGGAGGAGGAAGCTAGAGGAATCCTCAAATGCTATCACAGAGTTGGAATTTACCAAGTTTAATGGGTGAGCCATGCAAACACAATCACAGACAACAATAAGACCATGCTGTGTGCTTCCAGAAGGAAAAAAGAATTCTTCTAGGGATTGGAGAAAAGGCTGTCCTCTGTACATCATGTCAGAGAGCCAGTCTGAAAGGTGGCTTACTTGGCAAAGACTTCAAGGCAGCAGGGCACTCAGGCCATGGCATGGGCATTGCTATTTTTAACCAAATCCTCAATGAGAATCAAGAGCAAAAGGTCGGCCAGGAAAAGATGCAGTGACATATGGCCAAGACTTATCTTAGCTGGTAAAGAAATTAGTTCGAATAAAGAGAAGCTTAATGTGTCTGGCCCTTTATCTAAACTCAGGTTAAGTGTATCAAGCCCTCTGTACCAAGAAAACTGGAAACAGGCCTGGAGGACACTGCAAAAATCTGCGAGGCTACCACAGACTCAGAAATATAAATTGGTTTCAAAAAGACTTTCCAGAAAAGAGCAACGGGAGCCCGGCCTGTGCTACGTTCAAGACTGTCAAAACCAAACCAAACCTATGGATGCCCTATCCACTCAAGATGGCCTTGTGATTTCTGCAGTCAGCCAGCAAGGCATTCGGATGACTGAAATGCAAGTTCTAAGGGGTCAGGAATGTTTTATTCTGACAGCAGAATCCAATGTCATCCACAGGAAGCTTTTACAGGCAGTATGCAAGAGTTACAGTCATTGCAGCTTCGGTTGAGATTTCAAAGGCAAGCCCAGGAGGCTAAGCAGTGTGCTGGGGTTGGGGTCCCTGCAAGCGACTCCCAGTGAGGGGTTCATTACAAAGCTCCAGCAGTGACACTGAAGCCACAAGAGAAGGGTACCAGCAACGTGCGAGACCCACTCCGGAAGCTGCAGGCAGGGTGCGCAGCCAGCTTGAGAGTGGCCATGCGGGCCGCCACCAGCAGAGCCACAGGCGGAGGCAAGGCTGAGGAGTCCACATCCCACCAAACAGCCCCGCTGCTGGACTTAGGAGCTGTAGGATTTCAAGTTCGCCCTGCTGGGCATGGCTCTTGCTTCAGGTGTTTTGCTGTGTTTTATGTTCCTGTCCTTTCCTTTTGGGTTAGGAACCTGTATCCTGCCTGCATTCTGCAACTGTGTAAGTTTGTAACTTTGTGTATTCTACAGAGCTCAGAGCTGGGTTTGCCTTGAATCTTAGATGAATCTCTCGTATTGGGCTCCTGAGCAATGCTAGAACAAGTAAGCTTTTGGGTGCTCTCGGCGATGGAATGATGTGTCTTCATGGTGAGATGGTCCTTAGCTTTTGGGGTACAATCCAACAGTCTGGATGAGGGTCTCCCGTACAGCCATGTGTTGGAGGCTTAGTCCCCGGGGTGGTGCTACTGGGGAGGCACAGGAACCTTAGGAAGGACCAACCCTCTTCTCTTTGCTTCCTGGTTCATGATGTAAGTGGAGTGTTCTACCACGTCACTTACTGTTAACATCAGGGGCCCTCACCAGAGACCCAAAGCAACCAGGCTGCCTGATCTGGAACTGCAGCCCCCAGAACTGAGAACTAAATCAACACTTTTTATTTGTAAGTGAACTGCCTCCAATATTGATTTCGTTGTGATGATGGGAAGATGGCTAACACATGAGGAAACCAAGGACAAAACCAAACATTCAAAACCTTCTTGCCTCATGCTACCTACCAGACTCTCCATGTGCATCACAGCTAAATGATCACTCACTTGCCCTCCCTGGTAAGCTGAATTAAATAATTTACTAATACTTCCTTTAAAAAAAAACATGCTGGTGCTGGAGCTCTGGCTCACAAGCTGGAACACTGGCTGCTTATCCAGAGGGCCTAGGTTTGATTCCCAGCACCCACCTGTCGCTCACAACCATCTGTAATTCCCGTTCCAGAGGATCTGGTGCCCTCTTCTGGCACCTGAGGGAAACAGGCACACATGTGGTACACAGACTTATGTGGAGACAAAACACCTATATACATAAAATAAAAATCTTTTTAAGAGGTTAACTCTCTTAAACAAAGCACAAGAAAGCCAGGGCAGGACTCTCAATCCTGTGACGTTGCTCTTCTTGGACAGGGCAGCGCTGCTGTCTCATGGACCAAGTTTCCACGTGGGAAACTCCATCTTCGGGGAGCTGAGGACCCTGCCTTCCTGAGGAGCATGAAGCTCATCACAAACACTTCCCAACAACTGAAGGCATTTCCAAAACAGAGTATCTAAGACAAGACCAAGGCATAGCATTGCAACTAAAGCCACTGAGGCTATATTAACCAGTTTTTCTCACCTTCCTGAAAGATGAAATGCTCCGGTAAAAATTATTGCCCATGGAAAAAAATACCATTTCATGTAAACACTCAAGACTGGAATTATTTTGAATGTTTTTTAAAAAATGGAAATGCTGTCTAAAACTGGTACTGCATCTGACTGGAGGTGAAAGCTGAGCAATTAAAATAATTTCCCTCCCCATGCTGGCTGTGTGCTCCTCCTGAGCCAACGCAGGTCCTTCCCACCAGCCTGTGACTCAGTTGTTTCCCTTCCTCCATTCCTTACTTATCTAACATGCTGGACATGGCGACACACTAGCCATCCTTAAAGAGTGGGCCTCACGAACTGACGGAGCAGGATCACAAGGACTCTGTAAATATTTAGACTTTGGAAGCCCTCATTTGCCAAGTCCACACATTTTCTCCATCTCTGTTTCTTCTCACAGCTTAGAAGTTGAGCTGGCAGCTGTTCTCATGAAAGCTGTAATCAAGATGATTTACCTTTGCTATTCTGTCCGTTCTCCTTCTGGGACGAGAAAGCAGCTCAGGAAAACAGGGCCCTGGGGCAGCTGGTGTTGTGGGGCTGATAAAGGAAGGGCCGGAGGCTGACGGAAGGGCCTGATCACGAGAGTGGAGGCCAGAGCTCCAAAGGTTGCTGAAAACAACCAGACAACAGTTCCTCACGCTGCTTAGTCACTGCCCCCCTTCGCTCCATCAGTGACCCCCATGAGGTCACGTGCTGCAGATTCCCACAGCCTCCACACGGCCTGCTTGCCCCTAAGGAAGGCCTCTGCACTGCCGGCAAAACCTTCCCAACACGCTTCTCTGAACCCAGAACCCTAAGACTGTCACTGCGGCTCTAAAGCCTCAGCCCAAGGACACGGGCTGGGAGGACAGTGGCTAAGGCTGCACCTGGAGCCGGGCTGCCTGGCTTCCAACCCTAGCTCCCATGTGTCTGTACAATGAGAGGCAAGCCTTCTCTTAGGATTTCTTCCTTCTCTGCTAACAGCTCCATGCACACATGCTGTGTGGGGTCTATTCACAATGTCTATTTCAGCGACTTTCTGTACATTCAGAGCAGCACATCCAGGACTACCATCACTTCTGTTCTTTTTCCTCTCCTTTCCTTTTTCTTTTCTTCCAGGGTAAGGGATCAAACCCAGGCCTTGTGCATAGCAAGTCACATCCTCCAGCCTCATATGAGAAAACTTTGAATAGATGCTTGTCCAATAAGAAAAGACACATGTTCTTGTAGACTAACAACCACTGGGAAACAAATCGGTCTCCAAAGGAAGGGGTGACAGAGTACTCTGCTATTCTTGGAACGGGCTCCATTTATATATAGCTGTGACACTGTCCCTCTGTACTCTCAAAAGTGTCCCCAGTGGAATAAGATTGGGATAATACAACTGTGTCTGGTTTATGATGGGTAAACTATATAATATATAACTATGCAACACAGTTCTTAAAAAGAAGTCTAGGGGTTGGGAATTTAGCTCAGTGGTAGAATGCTTGCCTAACAAGTGCAAGGCCCTGGGTTCGGTCCTCAGTTCTGGAAAAAAAAAAAAAAAAAAAAAAAGAAGTCTAGATTTCAATGACAAGTCCAAACGCCACGACCTGGAGACCTCCTAAATGACTCAATGACCCTTTGCAAAGTAACCATTTTCCCAAGGAGATCTTTTTCAAGAGTATAGTTTTTTCTTTTTTCCCTACCAAGACAGTTTCTAGACTGGTCACACCAACATAAGACCACAGGGCTGGAAAGATGGCTCAATGGTTAAGAACACTCGTTTCTCTTCCAGAGAGCCGAGTACAGTTCCCAGCACCCATGTCAGGTGACACACTGTCCTGAACGCCAGCTCCCAGGTATCTGACACGGTCTTCTGGCCTTGCAGACACCTGTACTAACACACACACACACACACACACTAAATAAAATAAATATATCTTTCAAAAAATAAAATAAGACCACAGCCAAGTCTCAGATATCCATGCAAGTCAGCCCTTTCCAGGTCATGGCAAAACTCCACAGATGCTCAGTTCACCTTGAAAATAGGAACGCAGCCCATCTTGGACATCTTGCTGGTCTGTGGTACCCAAAGCCAGCCTTGTTGCTATAACCCCAGGGTCCCCACTCACTACAAAAGGATACATAGATGGTTACAAGTTTTGGCGTGTTACTGGCTTTAAAAATTAAAGCTAAAAACTTTTCCAGCTTCAGCTTTAAGTCTGGAGTCCAAGATTCCTAAAGAAAAAAATAAAATAAAACATCAGCTCACCAAACAGCCACGGTACCAACAAAGCTGTGGGCGTTGGGTTAAATAGCCCCATCAGTTACAGAAACCAAACGTGAAGCGTCCTGCCAGGGCTGGGGAGCATGGAGAACAGGTTTTCTGATGTGTAACTGATTCATTTATAAATAATTCAAGGACCCACAGCAGGGACAAATAATTTCCACATGACTGGAATATTTCATGCAATTTAGACACAAGCATGATAGTAATTTTATATGGTGAAATACCACAATGAACTCAGTACAGTCTAGGCATGCACGTCAAGTTAGATATGACGTAGACAATTATCTCTTAAGTTACTAGACAACCCCCAAAGAAAGGGAGTCATTTCTGGACCTCATCTAGACAGGAAGAAGGAAGTGGTCCTGCCACACCACCTCGTGCCCTGGTGAGCACTGCAACACAATTTTAGCTTCATCTGCCCTTGAAAATAAATTACTGCCAGTGGTGGTGGTGCACGCCTTTAATCCCAGCACTCAGGAGGCAGAGGCAGGTGGATCTCTGTGAGTTCGAGGCCAGCCTGGTCTACAGCCAGGGCTACACAAAGAGAAACACTGTCTCAAAATCACCCCCACCCTCTCAAAAGGAGGAGGAAAATGATAGAAATTGTGAAAGAAAAAGTCTGACAATAAATAATTACCATCTCACTTTATATGTGTTGAGGGTTTTGCTATGTTACTCAGGCTGGCCTTGAACTTCTGACTCTCCTGAGTGCTGGGTAAACAGGCAGGCACCATCATGTCTGGCTTGAAAGGGACACATGGCCTAGTAACAAACTTCCTTGGGATAATTTTTGCATAAAAATATCACCCACTTAAAGCAAAAATTCCACAAAAAAGCAGCTATTCCACCCAAATCCGTATCACTCTCCTCTCCAGGTCTGCACCCTTCCTTCTCCACACTCCCCACACCTCATCATCCTGCTACTCCTTACACCACCAGGTTAGACACACTACTGACAGACAAGAGGAGAAAAAATCCCTTATTTTCAAAAGATCTTTAAATCCTCTGATGCTGCAAGATTTTAAAAATTGTAATGTACGAGATCATGGGTTGTACTGTTTGCCAAACCTCATGCTGAAATCCTTGTGCCTGGTACCTTGGGACATGAAGCTGTTGGGGTGGGGCCATGGCAACATCAACTGTATGCGTACTCAACAGTGTGGCCCCTTAATTCAATGCCATATGATGAGTGAAAAGGAACTCACACACCGACACAGAGGGAAGATGTCCAGAGGGTGTGTACGCAAGCCAAGGACCATCTGGGTCCATCGGAAGCTGGGGAAAAAAGGAAGGCTGCTCCTCTCTAGAGCTTAAAGCAAGGAGCACAGCAGCCCATAAAAGACCCTAACCCTTCAGGCTTACACCCCCAAGCCCCAGGAAATGAGAAACTAAAAATCTAGTTCCAAGGGCAAGCTGACTCAGCCATTACTCAACCACCCCTGTAACAATGTAAAAAGATTTCTGTTAAGAGATGTGCTCAACTGTGATTGGGATAGTTGCAAGTGTTCCAGGAAGGACCACTGTGACCTTTGTGTAAACTCCACTCCCACCCTGATACCCCCCTGGAGGTTTCAGAAAGAATGTACATGCGAACGTGACTGTACCCACTCTGTGATCAGACCATGATCTTGTGAAACGAAATTGTATGGGAATTGTAATCTTATGGCCTTTGTGGGTTTTTCCTTTAAAAGCCCCCATGTGGCTGCAGTAAGATGCGACTCTTGCTCTTTGGAGCTGAGTTTGCCCGACTGTACAGCCACATTAATAAACACCTCTTGCTGTTGCATCAACTGGATCAGAGTCTGGGTTCTTGGGGTGCCCCCTCGAGAAGGTAGTACCCTGGGTCTGGGGTCTATCACCCAGATGTGGTCTCAGGCATCTGGATCCCCAGATACCCTGTTGGTCCAGCTTTGCCCTCAGAAAGCAGTGGTGCTTCAGCTTGGGGCTCTGTCCATCCACCACCTGAGGAGTCTCAGGAGAAGGTGCTGCCGTGGACAATGTAAATCAAGACGTTTGTTTTAGTTACTGTTTGTGTGCAACATACATGAGCACGGTGGGTGAACGGAGGTCAGAGGACAACTTTTTGTTTGTTTTTGAGACAGGGTTTGAACCAGGATGTACAGTCCTGGTTGTCCTGGAACTCTTTGTAGACCAGGCTGGCCTCGAACTCACAGAGATCGGCTGCCTCTGCTCCTGAGTGCTGGGATTAAGGGTGTGTGCCAGCCACCACGACTGGGCCCGAGGACAACCTTAGGTGCCAGTCCTCTCCTTCCACTTTGTGGACAGAATCTCTCCTGCTGTTCTTGCAACTCTGTGTACTCCAGGCTGGCTGACCTGAGAGCCTCTGAGCAATTCTCCTGTCTCCACTCCATTCTCACTACAGGAATGCCGACATCATATGGTAGCAATCACATCTAGCTGTTTTGTGAGTCCCTGGGATCAAAACCAGGTTGTCACACTTGTGCAACAAGTACGTTTATCTGCAGAGACATCTCACCAGCCCAATCATCATTAAATTTTTATTAGAGTTATCCATTTTATTGTATGTGTGAGTGTTTTGCCTGCACGTACGTATGTGCACCATGTGCTTGTCTTATGCCTGTATCAGAAGATGGTATCACATACCCTGGAACTGGAGCTATGGATGGTTGTAAACCACCATGTGGGTTCTGGGAATCAAACCCAAAGGTCTTCTGCAAAACCAATAAAATGTTAACTTCTGAGCCATTTCTCCAGCTCCTCAAAAAAGATATTTAAAAACAATCAAAACAGGGGCTGAGAATGTGGTTTAGGTGGCAGAGTACTTGTCTAGCATACTAAATGCTAGCATGCTAAAACACTAAATTCGATTCTTAATACTGCATAAAACTGGCATGTTGGTGCACGCCTGGAATCCCAGCACTGACAAGGTAGAAGCAGGAAGATCACAAGTTCAAGGTCATCTCAGTTATATGCTGAGTTTAAAGCCAGCCTGGGCTACATGAGACCCTGTCTCAAAAAAAACAAAAACAAAAAACAAAAAAAGAAAAGTATTTGGTACCCATGGACCCCCCAAGTCAAGCTGTTCTGGTTTTGGTTACTATTTTATATAACCAACAAACAGGTCTTTCCCACTCAATTACTTCTCTGACAATGTTCTTGCGACCAACATGGATAGGCTGGAATACAAACTCTCCAGCATGAATCTCTTATGCCTTCCTTTCCTTCTAATGTTTCTAGCTTTGAGAAGAACACTTCCTGAGTCTAAGGAGTACTTGATCCCACTCTTCCAAAAAGAGGTGTGAAGAGCCTGGAGAAGCTGGGCCAGCTCTGTGCAGACCACAGGCTTTAGAGGGCACTCATGGCTGCTTGACCGTCTTTCCAGAACTAAGCGCTCTGGCCCTTCAAAATCTTCAGTGGAACCCTAAAAACATGGCAGGAGTACTAAGAATGTGGGGACTGGGCCCAGGGCTCAATTCCATGCTCCTCCCCCACTGCGCCTCCCAACCCCTCCCTCGCAAAGTCTGCAAACTTAGATTCCCCACCAGGCCCGAGTGACTGGACCTAGGGCACTCTACATGCCAAGCAAGAGCTCCACCCCGAGTTATGTCCCTAACTTCTTTTACTTTTGATTTTGAGATAATAGGATCTCATTAAATTGCCCAGGCTAGCCTTAAACTTCCTGCCTCGGTCTTCCTGGTAGCTGGAATTACAGGTCTGTACCACCAGGCTAGACCCTTCCATCTCTTTAAATCTTTATTAAGCTTACCTGGCACAAACAATCACTTAGGTTCAATAAATGAGATGAGAAGGATGTGACCAGGGCCCACTAAAGGGAAATTATACACTCTCAAATCCAGAGAGAAAGATAGATCACTCCCAACACACAGACAGGCAGCTCCAGAGCAGCAGTAAGGGCGACAGGGGACATGCAGCTTAGCTAGGTTTAAACACAAGTGGAGCCGGGCAGCAGCTGGCACTCGGGAGGCAGAGCCAGGCGGATCTCTGTGAGTTCAAGGCCAGCCTGGGCTACAGAGTGAGTTCCAGGAAAGACACAAAACTACACTGAGAAACACTGTCTCAAAAAACAAACAAAAAAAGATCTATAAAGTATAAACAGTATGACCTAAAAGGTGAGCATGTTTTGTAAAATGCTTAAGTTTAAGTTAATAAGCCGTGGTGTTGACAACAAAATATCCTATTTTACGGCACAAGGAAAGTCTGTTAATGCAAACTATCTAAACATTGTTTTAAAATAAAATGTAAGAGGGGTTGCCTGGCAGAAAGGGAGAGGCAGTCCTTAGCAATGACCAGTGCAAAAATTCTGTATCTCGATGGTGGTGACAGTAGTTACACCTGCGCACACCTTACAGTTCACAGAGCTGCACCTGTCCAGAAACTGATTTTACTGTATGATGTATGAAAAAACCGATCTGATGTATGTGCATGGGGCTATGTGTGGCTAAAAACTACGTTTGTTTACTTTGCTACCTGTAAAGCGAATCATATGATGTGTCTTCTCTGGTATCTTCCTTGGCTTACTGAAGATTATGTCAATGTGCGGTTCCATTTCCTTCTGCATGTCCCTACTGATATCTAACTGGGCTGCTTCTAGGTCTGGCTATGTCCCCTAAAGATTTACATATATGTGCATGAACATACAACCATGGCTATTATAGGATGGGAAAAAGTCAGTCAAACACTAACACTACCCAACCATTTAATAGAATAACTATAGAAATTAGGGCTACATAGCCGGGCGTTGGTGGCGCACGCCTTTAATCCCAGCACTTGGGAGGCAGAGCCAGGCGGATCTCTGTGAGTTCGAGGCCAGCCTGGGCTACCAAGTGA